GGTCAAAATGATTTTGTGAACGAAATCCTGTCAAAAATAAAGTAGAGCGATAAATCCTTGGCTGGTAAACGGCTGGACAATGCGTACCATTGATACTTCGCAGGTATAAAATAGACCCCACTAGCGGTCCTTAGCCTCTTGTCCAGTAACTCGTATCCCTACCTCCCCGCGGTGCCGGCTGGGGTACGAGTAACCATAGGGAAGATCGGGTAACCAACCCCGGTGGGACCTTGGTCGTATGCTGACAGGGAAGGGGGGGAGGGACTCCTCTCTCCGGGAATGCAGTCTTCGAGCATCTATTCACCACGAAGGTGCGGCTCAAAACGGCGTCTGTTCTCCATGTTAGGAGCGGCTAATCAACGTCCTGGTGCCAGCGTGGGACTCTAAACAGTGCTGTGCACGATGGTCCCCCGGCGATACAATGGGGGTTGGTGCAGGCCCTACAAGCCAGCCGTAAAAAAACAAAAGTACAGGAAGCAAGCAATGTAAATACGGACCGGAACAATCGGTATAGACCCAAGCAACGGAAACGGACTAACGATTGGAAACTCGGAACATGGAACTGCAAGTCTCTCAAGTACCCGCATTCTTTCCGATTTATTGAGGGTCCGCAAGTTCGGCATCGTAGCGCTGCAGGAGGTTTGCTGGAAGGGATCGTCGGTACATACGTATAGGGATGGCTATACCATCTACCAGAGCTGCGGCAATACACATGAGCTGGGTACAGCTTTCATCGTGATGGGCGAAATGCAGAAGCGCGTGATTGGGTGGTTTCTTCAATGTCAGCATAATCCACTTGCACAGCCCTCACTTAGCAAGGACGATGACGATAAAGACGCTTTTTACGCACAGCTGGAACGGGAATACGACAGCTGCCCAAGCCATGACGTCAAAATCGTCATCGGAGATCTTAAAGCTCAGGTCGGCCAGGAGGAGAAATTCATGCCGGTTATAGGAAAGTTCAGCGCTCACCAACTAACGAACGCCAACGGCCTTAAAGGGTGTCCACGATGAAATTGCCACACTATGAAATTGCTCTAACTTTTTAACCAATGGGTAGAATTTAATGAAAATTTGGGTGGATTTAGTTCATAGTGCATTATTTACATCCTGCAAGTTTTAAAGTCCTGTGATCAAAACTCGTGGAAATGGAGTCGAAAGAACAGCTCGTGCGTGATAAAATCTTGCGCATTCATCACGAGAACAAGGATCTCTCGCATCGTTCCATCGCTAAAACGTTGGGAATCGCGAATTCCACGGTGTCGCGAGTGATTAAGCGGTTTGAGGAACGGTTGACCACCGATCGGAAGCCCAGAAGTGAAGGAAAAAGTATTCCGTACAACACCAAAAATCACAACCGCGTAGTTGGGGCCTTCAACCGAAATCCGAACGCCTCCGTTAGGGATGTGGCTAAGAAGCTGCACCTAAGCCGAAGTTTTGTCCAGAAGGCCAAAACTAAGGCTGGGCTTCGAACGTTCAAGGTACAAAAGGCCCCTAATCGCGACGAGAAGCAGAACAAGTCCGCTGACGAAAGTTGAATGCTGCATCATGGACGACGAAACATATGTGAAGGCCGACTTCAAACAGATCCCCGGCAACCTGTTTTTCACGGCCAAGGATAAGTTCAGCGTTCCGGAGCATGTCCGCACTCAGAAGATGTCCAAATTTGCGAAGAAATTCCTGGTTTGGCAAGCCATCTGCACGTGCGGGAAGCAGAGTGTACCTTTCGTGACCCAGGACACGATGAACGGACAGGTGTACATAAAAGAGTGCCTCCAGAAGCGGCTGCTTCCTCTCCTGAAGGCCCACAACGTCCCAACAATCTTCTGGCCGGATTTGGCCTCATGCCAGTACTCCAAGGACGTGCTGAAGTGGTATGCGGACAATAAGGTCAATTTCGTGCCGAAAATGTTCAACCCTCCCAACACTCCGGAGCTCCGCCCCATCGAGAAGTACTGGGCGATTATGAAGCAGCACCTTCTTAAACGACCTAAGGTAGCGAAGACAGTCGAGGAACTGAAGAAAGTATGGGTTTACATGCAAAAAACGGTTGATTCACAGGTTGTGCAGAATCTTATGGCCGGGGTTAAGGCCAAGGTGCGGGCATTTGCGTATGGACTGTAAATAAAATATGAGTAAAATGGTAAAATGAAGTTTAATAGTTATTTCTCAATCCCTGAAAATTTGATGGCAATCGGATGAAAACTCGAATTTTGAGAATCAATTTTGTGTGTGGCAATTTCATCGTGGACACCCTTTAGACTCATCGATTTCGCCGCCTCTAAGAACATATGGCCATACGTAGTACCTACTTCCAGCATAGCCTCCCATATCGGTACACCTGGAGATCACCGCAGCAGACAGAATCGCAAATCGACCACGTTTTGATCGACGGAAGGCACTTCTCGGACATTGTCGACGTCAGGACCTATCGCGGCGCAAATATCGATTCGGACCACTACTTTCTAATGGTCAAGGTGCGCCAAAAACTTTCCGTTGCCAACAACATTCGGTACCGACGCCCGCCACGGTACAATCTGGAGCGACTGAAGCTGCCCGAAGTCGCAACTGAGTACGTGCAATGCCTCTACGCAGCGTTGCCGGATGAGGGAGAGCTCACCGAAGCCCCTCTTGAGGACTGCTGGACCAACGTGAAAGCAGCCATTAACAGCGCTGCTGAAGGCGCCGTTGGGTTCGTGGAGCGGAATCTACGGAACGATTGGTTCGACGAAGAGTGTCAGACGGTTTTGGACAAGAAGAACGCAGCGCGGGAGGCGATGTTGCAACAAGGAACCCGTCATAATTTGGAGCGATATAAACAGAAGCGAAGACAGCAAACCCATCTTTCCCGGGATAAGAAGCGACGCCTGGAAGAGCTGGAGCTGCCGCGAGCCGAAATGTGTCGGGATAAGGAAGGGGGCATCTTAATGGACGAACGTGAGGTGATTGAAAGGTGGAAGCAGCACTACGATGAACATCTGAACGGCGCAGAGGCGGAGAACCAAGGCGGCAGGAGGAATGGCTTCGTCGGTACAGCGGATGAGGGAGACATGTCAGCTCCCACGATAGGTGAAGTTAAGGATGCTATCCGACAGCTAAGAACAACAAAGCAGCTGGGAAGGATGGTATCGGAGTGGAACTTATCAAAATAGGCCCGGATAAGTTGGCCTCTTGTCTGCACCGACTAATAGTCAGGATCTGGGATACAAAACAGCTACCGGTGGAGTGGAAAGAGGGAGTAATATGCCCAGTATATAAAAGGCGACAAACTAGAATGTGAGAACTATCGAGCGATCACTATTCTTAACGCGGCCTACAAAGTGCTTTCCCAGATCATCTTTCGCCGTTTATCGCCGCTAGCAAGCAGATTTGTGGGAAGTTACAAGCCGGTTTTGTGGACGGGCGATCGTCAACGGACCAAATCTTTACATTGCGACAGATCCTCCAAAAGTGTCGTGAATATCAAGTCCATACGCACCACCTATTCATCGATTTCAAGGCCGCTTACGATACTATTGACCGTGAAGAGCTATGGAAGATTATGGACGAGAACGGTTTTCCCGGAGAGCTGACCAGACTGATCAGGGCTACGATGGATGGTGTACAGTGCTGCGTGAAGATATCGGGTGCGTTATCGGACTCATTTGAAACTCGCAAAGGACTTCGACAAGACGATGGTCTTTCCTGCCTCCTGTTCAACATTGCGCTAGAAGGTGTTCTGAAACGTGCGGACTTTAACATGCGGGGCACGATCTTCAATAAGTCCAGCCAGTTCATCTGCTTCGCTGACCACGTGGACATTGTCGGAAGAACGTTTCAGGCCGTGGCGGAGCAGTACACCAGACTGAAACGTTAAGCAGAGAAGGTTGGATTAAAGGTGAATACGTCGAAGACAAAGTATCTGTTAGTTGGAGGAACCGAGCGGGATAGGGCTCGCATAGGCAGAAGCGTGACAATCGACGGAGATGAGTTCGAGGTGGTGGATGAATTTGTGTACCTCTGATCATTGGTGACGTCGGATAACAACTGCAGCAGAGAAATTCGTCGGCGTATTATTGCCGGAAGTCGTGCTTACTACGGACTCCACACAACCCTGAGGTCGGGTAAACTTCACGAAGGCGAAGGATGAACCGCGAGCTGGTGCAACTCTATGGTGAACCCTGTATCCAGAAAGTTGCGAAAGCTGGACGGGTACGATGGACGGGACACGTTTTAAGAATGCCGGACAACAATCCCGCAAAAATGGTGTTTGCCTCGAATCCGGCCGGTACAAGACGAAGAGGAGCACAGCGAGCAAGGTTGTTAGACCAGCATAAGCAGGATCTTGGAAGTGTGGACGGTCAAGAAATTAGAGACAAGCAGCCACGGACCGAGTGAATTGGCGTAACATTGTGATGCAGGTGCAATCCTGAGGGATGTTGGACCAGGCTAAGTAAGTAAAGATAAATCCTTTGACTTGCCAAACAAGACCCCTATTTATGTTTACGCTTATTAGGCTTGATGTTGATGTTTCCTGGTTCTGTTACTGATACTATATCATACGTTACTCTATATAGCTTTAAATGAATGATTGAATCTACTTGAAAAAAATATATACCACTTCCGAGTTTCGCTAGCCATTCAAAATGACTCTCCGAAGATTCAAAACAAGTCATCAACACAGCAACCGTCATCGATTTCTGCCGCTGCCTGTCCTAGCGGCAGCCAACAGTTTGTCGTCCACACTAATCCTTTGTGAGCGACCTTCTTCTATCGATATACATATTTGATAATTAGACAGCACTAACGAGCTAGGTAAACTACCTTCGATTATGGCTAATGTGCTATAAATAACTATCGATAAAAGTATGCGAACCAACAACGACGAACCATGCAACCTGTTGGCTGTTGATTTTAAAAGGTTCACACTTTCGGCGTTTTTGCGGCTGGTGGTGCTTTCAAAACTGAATGATGTTCAATAGCTAAATATAGGAGTAAACATGCACAATTATGCGACTCACATTCAAATCCGGACTCAGTCCACCGTGGCAACAGAAAATCTTCTCGTCGATAATGGCCGCGATTGGTAAGCAGTTGAAACAGTCGGTGAAGGTTTTCCACAGCTTGACGTTGTACCTCCGTTTGCACTCGTCGTAGAATCCTGTGGAAAAATATGATTTATAAGTGAGGCTCAAGCACTCAGCGTGTTTTTTTTCTGTTAACCTACCGTATATCCTATTAATACTGGCACACTCGTGATTGCCCCGCAGCAGGAAAAAGTTCTCTGGGTATTTGATTTTGTAGGCCAACAGCAGGCAAATCGTCTCCAGTGATTGTTTTCCTCGGTCAACGTAATCGCCCAGGAATAGATAGTTGGCCTCCGGTGGAAAGCCTCCATACTCGAACAGCCGCAGCAGATCTGTGTACTGACCGTGGATGTCACCTGAAACGAGTCAATCGATGTGAATACATGTGTAAGCGCAAGCTATAGCAACCATTTCTCGAAAATAAAGCTCAAACGATGCTTCGAGTTCATTCCAGGAACGAAAACAATTCCATGCTTCAACAATTCCAAGGATGAATCATCCTGAATCTCGTGCGTACGTAATACCTGTTTTCAATGAAAAAAAAAAAACAAATCAAACCACTTACCGCAAATTTTCAGCGGTGCTTCCAGATCGAGAAGGATGGGCTGCTGTAGGAAAATTTCCCGAGACTTTAGGCACAGACCGCGAATCTCTTCCTCTGACATAGGTACCGCCTTTCCCGGTCGACATCCTCTGACTGTTGGGGAAGAAAAAATCGAGAAGAACAAACACGAATCCATTAGTATCAATAAATCACTCCATTTGCGTTTCGTTACATAAAGAATACATATAGGTGGGTGGGTGGTTATGCAGCAATTCGGTTCAATTGGTCGGCAAAACATTCCGCAACTTAATACCATCATCTGGAACTAAGTAGCGAAATCGGGAGTGATCGGGATTTGAATGTCTTTGACGCATTAGCTCAACAGGCGGCAAAACCCAATCAGGAGCTTCTATTCGAATTAAATTAGGTGGCATCCAAAATTCGTCGATTGATTGAAGCACTTGAGCTGGCGAACGATTGAGCGACAAATTAGGCATGATGGCATAACACGAAAGAGCATGAACATGTTCATCGAACGGTGCGTTTACTCACGCATTCCACGGAAGATGGCGCTCACCGTGAGGGGGAGGGTGGGATGATTGACTAATGTAGGTAGAATCGGCATAACGAGCTTGATGCTTCCGTCTAGTATTTGGAAGAGACATGATTTTCCTTTTTATCTTCTTCAACATCTAGTCTACGACGAGAAGTGATTGGTATTTTCTTTGTCTGTAGTCTATGTCTAAGATTGTTGTTCATTGACGCGTGGTAGGGATTTTCGGTTATCTTAACTGCCAACGAAAGTCTTCGGAAAATGTGTTTAACATAATCACAACTTGGTCTAAAGGTTAATTTCTATTTTGACCTGCAAGTCACTATCCCTGGAAATCGTTAAAAGTTCTTCAGATTTCCACAGGACATCGTTTTCAAGGTATCCGAAAATAGCCTAGCAGTTAGGTATTAGCTCAGATAATTTTTAAAAGATTCCTGATCTTTGAAAACCATCAAATTTTTTATCTTACAATTGCACTGAATTTACCTTAAATTCCCTCTACGAAATCACTGAAGTTCAGCAGCCTGAGCTCGATTAACCTCCCCTAGTTGCTACTCCGTTTCATGGTCACATCAGCAATTACAGGGTGTCTACTAATATTGCTGGTATCACCTCGGGTGAGGTTAGTCTCCGTGGAAATCAAATGGAGAGTAACCTCACTTGAGGTTATAATTGTCACTTCACTAGTGACAGCGAGTCACCTCACTTCACACGACACGGAGAATAGGCCTATCTATTTAGACTATTGGAGTCTCGATGAACATTTCAAAAGGTCCAAGGATATCGCACCCATTCAAACAAACATGGGCCGGGACCAACGGCTTTACTTCCCTTCCGAAGGAAGACGTGACTAGAGATTGGTATGCCTCAGAAAAACCCCACCGACCTCGGTTGGGATTGAACCCAGTCCCATTAGGGTGAGGTTTACCACTACACCACCGACATCGAATTTTACTTAAAAATAATAAATTATTTTCTGAATTTTAAACGTTTTATTTTTTAACATGAATGCTGCTTTTTTTATGGGTATCATTTTACAACAAAAAATTTACTAGTGAATTATGTTTTTACATATGCAATTAATATGCTATGGCACCATTTTATGTTCATAACAAACAACCAAGGGCGCACAGTGGGACGAAATCAAAAAATGTAGGACATGGCTATTTGATCCTACCGTCAAAAATGTACATGTTCAAAGCAATAACAACTTGGTAGAACATTGAAGAAATGGGAAAATTCAAACAACAAAGTTATGATAAGAAAACGCTGTTTAACGTGGTACAGGTATACCACGAAAAAAGTAATTGTCACTATTGACTTCCATCGTCAATATCTAATAACAATTGAATCATACAAATTAATATAGATGGGGGCGACCCCGGCGTAGTGGTTAACATCCATACCTCTCACGCCAAAGTCACGAGTTCAAATCTCACCCCCGGACAAGTCACGAATGACCCAAGAGTGTTAAAGTGACCATAATAAAAAAAAAAAAAGCAAATTAATATTACCAATAAATGGGGAATTATCTCATCTGTATTAGTGGTATAAGGTTGATTGTTTTAATGATAATTTGTGGGAAATCGACAATGGAAGTCAAAAGTGACAGTTACGTTACATCGAGGTATACCTGTACTACCGAGTTTACTCCATTTTCACCCTATAATTTCATCCACTTGAGAGATAAAAAATGTCGTCTTGAACAAAGTTTCTATAAATGACTTCATTTGCAATGGTTCCATAGTTGTTCATCAATTTTAACAAAACATTTTTTTTTACCGGTGTATACCCCCCTTAAGCAAAAATTTTCACTACACTCAAGTCTTTTTTTCGACTCGTTTTTTTCTACGCAGTTTTTTTTTCACGGTTGACGCCGGCTGAGTCGCAATTTACACGGTACTTTTTTAACGATTTCTCGATAACGATAAAACCTCTCGACTTGATTCGATTCACATTATCCGTTAATTGCATACTTTAAAAAATTAAAGGGTTGTGTCTTAGACACGATCGCAGTATGACGTAGAACCTCGCAAAATTGATGTTTGTTATGCATTTTTGACTATTATACTTGGAAAAAAGGATGGACTTTGGATGTTCATCTAATTGCATATATAGAGGTACCAGATATGCTTTACAGTCAGTTGTTGGTAATTTACCAACATAATATCATCGGATGTATGTCTCCTCTTAAGCAATTGTTTTGAAAATTGTGGCTTTTGTTTTTACTTATAATTGTAGTTTGCTTAAAATTTATTTCCCGGAAAAAAAAGTGATCGTCAAAAGACGGGGGAGAGGGAGAGGGGTATTTTGCATATCTAAGTCTCATTCTTCATTATGTGACAGGTGATCACGCCGTGATCCACCTTTATCCGCTGTGCTAGTGCCACGCCGACCGAAGCGGTAATGAGCAGAGTCATTTTGCCATTTAAATGATCTTTATTTCTTGTGATTGTGTGGTTTACATGTATGAATTTTTTAAGTGACACAGATGCGTCTTTTCAACTTTAGTACATTTGAGATATTAATTATTATTTACAGTTCCTAGTCCTATCAGGCCTATTTTAAAGTATGACCACCTTGGTGGGATTGGTTTGATTTGAATTGGAAAAGGGAGACTACTTTTAACTACTATTTACAACTACAACTAACCTACAACTACTATGTACACCTAACCTACTATATACAAATTGCTTATCAAATCATGTTCTGATAAATTACATTTTTGTGCAAATTTAGTTTTAATTTCGTTAATTTTGGAATCTATTTTGGCAATGCCTGCCTCTTCATGTAAATTTGTTATTCTAGTGTCGAAAGGACGATCAAGAACCATCCTCAGCACTCTATTCTGAGCTACCTGAATTTTGTTCCTGTGAGTCTGTGCACATAATTCCCACACCGGAGCTGCGTAGAGGATCGCAGGTGCTACGATTTGTTTGTAGACGGCCAGTTTGTTCACCCTTGAGAGGCGGGATCTGCGGCAAATCAGCGGATACAGACACCTAACCAAGGCGGAACACTTGACTACGGTTTTCTCCACATGCGAGCGGAATAGAAGCTTTTCGTCAAACAACATCCCGAGATAGGTTACTTCGGCGGACCACTCAACCCTTGTGCCATCCATGATTACAGTACAAGAGGGAGCCGGTTTTAGTTTGGGTGATTGTCGATGGAGGAACATGATTGTTTGTGTTTTGGAAGCATTGATTTTGATTTTCCACGTGGTGGCATAATCAGCAAAGGCGTTAAGGCATCGTTGAAGTTTGTTCGTTATTTCGCGAGGCATCCTTCCTTTGACGGCTATTGCGGTATCATCTGCGAACAGGAAAAACACGCAACCGTCTCCAAGGGGAGGAATGTCGGAAGTGTAAATGCTGTAGAGCAAGGGGCCCAGCAGACTGCCTTGCGGGACTCCTGCAGGGATGGAAAACGTGTCTGAAAGACAACCATTCAACGATACCTTAAACGACCTTTGCTGGAGGTAGCTACGGGTGATTTTAACCAGATGTAATGGAAAGTTGAAGTTACAAAGCTTGTATACAAGCCCATTGTGCCAGACATTATCAAACGCTTTCTCAACGTCTAACAAGGCCATGGCTGTGGACTTGGATACAGCTTTGTTACTTCGGATGTTATTCATCACCCGCACTAGCTGGTGATTGGTGGAGTGCCCCTTTCTGAACCCAAACTGTTCCGGTAGGAGAATGTTATTTACCTCGACAAACTTGAGCAAACGATTGAGAATGAGTTTCTCGAACAATTTGCTCAGCGCTGAAAGGAGGCTGATTGGTCTGTAGCTTGAAGCTAGCGTTGGGTCCTTCCCGGGTTTGCGGATAGGTATGATTTTCGCTGTCTTCCAGATGCTTGGAAAGTAGTGCAGTTCCAAGCATCTGTTGAAGACAGCAGCCAGCAGAGAGTGAACCTTCATGCTGAGATTTTTCAACACTAGGTTGAATATTCCGTCAAACCCGGGGGCCTTCATGTTTTTGGTGCATTTCAGCGCTGAGCAAATCTGTTCCACTGTGATTCTATCCTCCGGAGGGATGGCACAAGGGGAGGAATCAAAGTTGAGTACGCATTGCTCAACCTGAACTTCGAGCGGACTTTGGATGTTGGAGCCAAGCAAGTGCGATTTGGCAATATGCTCACCAATCGCATTTGCTTTCTCCTGAGGGGTGATTATGAGCCGATCGTCATCATTTTCATCTTTTAGTGGCGGAATGGGTTTAGGGTGCGTCTTTAAGACCTTGGCAACTTTCCAGAATGGTCTGGAGCGGTCGTCCAGATTCTGGACAAGCCGCCCGAAGCTTTCGTTCCGGAGTGAGACCATTCTGGAAGCAATCTCCTTGTTCAGATCGGCCATTTCACGTTTCATCGCTTGATCTCCAGTCCTCTGAAACTGGCGTCTACGAACATTTCTCAGGCGAATTAAGAGTTGGGTGTGGGAATCAATAGCAATAAACTTACCCCTCACAGGAACTCGTCGGACGCACGCCTCGTCAGCCACGGTTATGGCTTGGTGGAGTCCCTCCAACGCTCGGTCGATGTCCTCCACGGTGTCAAGCGGCGGGTTGTCGATGATGTGCCTGTCTACCACGCG